TGCTGGTCACACTATTTCTGATACAGGCCAGGATGCCATTGGCCTTCCTGGCCACCTGGGCACCCTGCTGGCTCATATCCAGCCCGCTGTCAACCAGTACCCCCAGGTCCTTTTCCACCAGGCAGCTTTCCAGCCGCTCTGCCCCGAGCCTGTAGCGCTGCATGGAAATACATAGTAAATACCGCATTTAAAATTACGTCAAGACAACTGTCTACCCAGAGCCAAGATGTCCGTACCTTTCTGTTGTGGTTTTCCCAAAGTGGTCGTCGTCTTGGTGTGCGTTTTGGAATCTTTTGCCTGTTGTTCTTCTATGTACTTCTGCTGGCACTCTTCAGCAGAGCGAGACCCCACCATCATGGCCACCTCCACCCAGAAGCCGTTCCTGTGCTTTGGAAAGGAGGCGATGGCCCTGCCAAGAGAACAAAGCCCCAGCCTTCGTCAGGCGGAAGAACCCGCACGACGCTGCCTTCCTAGAAAGGACACTGCGCTGGACGCAGAGAACCGGGTCTCTGGGGGCTTGTCCAGACGCTTTAAAACATGCAAAAATTTATTTGAACAATTTAGGCTAACAGCTCCGTTACAAGATAAATTTCTTTTCTTTCTTTGCAGCAGGTTCTCCCCCCTCACGCCTTTTCAGGTTTCTGATCTAAAAGAAACCAAACATGGTTGTTTTATTACTTACTGTGTATATTGACTGCTGCCCAGTAGCTTGTTAAAGTAACTGGGCAATGCATTAATTAAACATTCTTGCAGTTAAATCTCCCCTTTACAAGACTTAAATACATAAGCAGGTCATGTTTAACACTTATTCCATTAGGGGAGACAATATGTTGCCTCTGATTTACTGTCTAAACCATAAAGATGAATACTTCCACCATCGTATTTACCTACTCGTGTTTGTCACTTCTACTCCTAGGAATGTTCATCACTTGTAACAAGATTAAGTACGTGTTTTTGAAAAAGAAGTAGAGGAGTAGGGTCACAAAATTTTGCCCAGTGCCTGTGTTCCTCTCACTTTACACTGGTGACAGTGGAGGGGCTGCTGTAGGCTCACGCATCTACAGTTATTTTAGAAAACACTCAGTTGTCTCCTTTATTTCATTATTTTTTAAATTGTTAACACAATTTGTTTTGTAAGAGGGAATTAAAAGGTAGCAGAAACCTTTAAAATAAGCTGAAAGAGACTGAATCTGAAAAATCCAAATCCAGACCATCCAAACCCTTCGGTACATTATGCCTCCCGATGTCCGAGGGAATCTTTGCCCACTGAAGACAGGGCAACCACTTGCCTGTAGAGCTTCTGCAATTCCTTCTCAGACCAACCATCAGCCGTCCTTGGGAAAAGTTCTAGAGCTTTCTGCACCTTTTCCCTCTCAGGTTCTCTTGCTTTTGCTGCTGAAGACTTGGCAGTATTAGAAACTTTACAGTTTGGTTTTTTATCAGGTACTTTTGAATTCTTTCCTTTCACCTGAAATACCTCTTCACTGCTTTCCGTGTCAGATTCAAGGAAATACCTCGGAGGGTTGTCTCTGCTTCTTGTCCTCATTGCCTTAGCGGGCAGATGGGAAGGACTAGACGGTGTTTTTCCATCAGTGGATCTGGGCACACTTTGCCCCAGCAGTGCACCATGGGAGGCAGAAAAGTGTTTTGCTGTCCTTTGTTCACACGACGCCTCGTTTGCATCGTCCTGTGAACTTTTACAGTTCGAGGAGGAATTCGAGTTTTGAGTGTCTTTTTTAAATAAAGGTTTATTTTGCCTTTTGACAGACAGGGGGATATCTTCACTGGATTCCTCTTCTTCGTCTTCGCTTGACGATTCTTCTGTTAAATGCTTGTCTCGAGTAATTTGTTTGACTGACCGTAACGAGTACTTGTACGCCCGCTGGTGTGTAGTCAGTTTTCCATGTTCTGTCTCTTTCTTTTCCTTCGTCATGCCTGGGATTCTGCTATTAGAGTCAGGTCTTTTTAGTACTTCAGTATTTAAGGGAGTCAGCCTAAGACAAAGTTGTGTGTTAACTTTTGTACTATTGATTGCGTGATCTCTTTCATCATCATCTGAAAGGAAGTGCCTGGCCTCCTTGCTTCCAGCAGGCTTGGTTTCTCTTTTGGAACTTACTCCTTTTTCATTGTTTTTCCCTGAAAGAGAGGACGTCAGTATAATGTCACACATTGTACTGTAAACCGGTACCGTGTTCTCAGACAAGTGCAGACTGGCCTGCTGCGGGATGCAACGCACCCCATGCTCGTCAGGATCTGTCAACTCCTTCCTGCTACAGAGCGCGCAGTCTGTGGGAAGAGACACGCAGCACGCCTCCGGCACGCAGCGCCCCGTGTTCTACAGAAGCCTCTCCCCAGTTTCCAGAACGCTAGAGTTCTTCAGGACAAGGAGACGTTCCTTGAACCGTCGTGTTGGGATACAAAAGTAAATCAAAGGCTGCTTCCCTCCAAAACACAGCGAAATGTCACTTAAGAGAGAAATTGGTGATGCTTGGAAACATTTCACCATGCTCTGTACTGCCCGCCCCTTCCCCATTTCAGAGACGGGTAGCACGGGTCGTCTGCAGCCCGCCTGCAAAGGCGCACCCGGCTGATAACTACAAACTCACTCCTGCTGTTAAGGGATGTCCAATAAACGTCACCAGACATGACTGACTAAAACCAGCACCTAGCAAAAGCTTCCCGAGACCGCTGCGCCTCCCTTCCCCCCCGCGTAGCTCAGAAGGGTTACGTAAAGGCCTTCTGCCCCCGCACGTACACTCCTAGGCGTTCGGGGTTAAATCCTTCAGGAAGAGGCGGCTACGTGGGACAGCCACGCAGCGTGTCCCCCAGGCAGGCCGGCCCTGCTCGGGGCAGTCAAGAAGCAGAGAAAATCCCTTTGCACGTGACTCTGACAGAGAGGATGCAGCTCAAAACCGGGACGCAGCTCAAAACCAGGCGTAAGCGCTGGGTAAGGGTCCCTCTGCCCCGAGGGAGGGCAGCCAGCGCGTGCAGGAGACGCCCCATTCCTGCCCAGTGTGCTCCCGGGACAGGCCGCCTCCAGACAACCACAACAATTAGGACTAGCCAGGCTCCGTGAAAGCATCGAGCAGATGGAGAGTAAAACAGTAAACGGAAAGCGTTGCTAAAACGCTGCGACTGAGACTGAGCAAACACCAGCATCCCAAAAGCTTTACTCGTGCTGCAGAGAGCTTTTTGCAGGAAGCATTACAGTTGCTTTAGAAGAGAAAGTTCTGCTTTCCATTTTATATTGTTTTCAGCGTTCTATTGTGTCCCAAATGTTATCAAAAATAACAGGTTTAGAACTCTATTCATACAGTTTTTTTCCCCTATGTAGGCATTTCATTTATTTTAATTCATCCAGCTTAAAAAGTAAAGCCAGGCCACCTGCTCCCTGGCCTGGTGAACTTCCCAGGCTCTCTCAAGTCACACGTAATAGCTGTGTTGAGAGATCCAAAGTACAGGAGCAGAAACTTCAAAAAAAAAATCATCATCCTTTTACTTCAGTTTCCAGAAAGAAATCTGCGCATTCCTGGGATGTGAATGAAGAAGTGATTTACAAATGTAATTTATATCCGGAGCTGCAGAACTCAGAAACCAGGATTAATGCTACTCTGACAATTTTCATAGGAGATGCAGTCAACTATTAAAAGACTTAAACAATTTCTTTACATTAACAGGACACCACCACATTGCTTTCCAGCACCCAGCTCATAATCCCACTGATTCTAGTCAATAACTTCAAAAAAAAAAAAAAAAAAAAAAATTATATATTTTTTTTACCTTTACTTTGGCTTTTTGGTGCTTCTTCCCTTGTCTTCGTTACTTCCTTTCTTTTATTCTTCTCAGAGGTGGAACTGGTCTTTCTTTGGGGTTTTTCACTACTAAACATCTTCAAAATAAAACAATTTAAGCTAAACTTCTGCGAGAGATTACATACCAAGCTCTGAAAAAGCCAAATGTCTACAGGCTGGGTAGATTGCAAAGTCCCCTGCATTGACCAGTATCTACCACCGACCATTCGATGAACACAGGCATTTATATAAACGCACGGAGCCCAGGCAACTTAGCCGGACTTCCTTTAAATTTAAATATTCTAAACCACAAGTTAAACTCCCAAGACCTAGAACCGCTGGAGTCGGTGGTAAACGGGACACACATCTTCACTGCCCCAGCTGACGACAAGCGTTCGTACACCCCCCGTTCCATAACACCAACCCATCTTCAAGAAGGAAAAAAAAAAAAAAAAGCTCACAACTACCCACAAAGAACGCTGCTTTCCTTCACTTTGTCAGAATACCATCAGAGTCGCTTACGTCTCAATCTATAACAGCACACCTCCATCCAAACTGGGGCGACCCGGACAGATGAGGATGCAAGAAATGAGGAAACACCTGGTCCTAACGAGCGCGTGACCCTACGCGGGGAGGGAGAACCGAGGGCAGGACAGGCGGACACATCAGCTCGCCTGGCACCCCCTGTGTGACTCAGCACCGTGGCCGGGCCTCAGCATTGCAACATTACAGAAATGTTTTGCTTAGGAACCTCTGTGACCCAAACCGGTACCTGCGTGCAACTTCCTGCCTGATGGATTTATCTTCCCAAAACCCCACTCATTTTTCCAGAAGGAATTCCCTATTATCCCCATTTTACAGACAACAACAGTTACCTGATAATACAGAGATTAAGACTATTTTTTTGTTTGCTTTAAAACGTTTCTGTAATGTTTTCAAGATTTCCTGCCTCTTCAGGTACCTCTCAAGAGCTGGGCCCTTCCTGTTAGATACCGAGCCAAGCTTAGTCATTATATTTAAGGTTCATTTAAGTAACAATATGCAAAAGAACCGTACCATGCTCAGATAATCTATTCCACCTTCTTCCACAGTAACATTTAGTTTCTGATCAACAATCTCACGTTGCCCACACCAGAAACTTAAGGGCGGTTTAACAAGACGGCCACTGCGCGTGTAAACTCTGCTTAAGTCATTCGATATGGAATTGCGCTTTGATGGTGTATCTACAAGAAAAAAAACAAACAAGAAATACACTTTTGTCCCAAATACTGTAGTGAAAATTCAGCTTTTCAGGCTTCACATGCTTAGGAGCAATACTGCATTTAAACCAGCTCACTGGCACTGACTACGTGGAGAACATCAAAGTTACTACAATGTTTTCTTGTTCTTTTAAAAGCGTTCAGGTTGGAAGTAAGCATACCTTAACATGACTGAAGTAATAATCTTCACAAATTATAAAATATACTGTTGTGAACTTTCTATTTTTACTTTGTTTAGAAGGTTATAAATACTGTAAAATTCATATAGGGAAGTAGAATGATAAAAAAAAGTTGTCACACTGAACAAATTCTAACTGTAGTGAGAGTAAAAAAGAAACCAGCTTTTACAGTGTTGGCAAGAAAATCCAATGACAGCGTGAACAGTACAATGAAATTTGGCCAGAACCTTATTGGAAGCTATGACGAGATATTAAAAAGAAGTCACGGTTAAAACCAAGAGCTGATGGTGTCCGTAACGAAGGTAGGGTTGCAGTACAAGGCAAAGACGACACAGGTGGATCAACAGATTGCGGCTTTACAACCATTTCCTAGAGAAACAAGCAATGTAACGGATTTCTCCACAGTCCATTCCGTCCATCCCCAGTCGTTATCACTCACTACGCCTCAGCTGTGGCAAAACCATGAAGATGCCGTCAGCCAGACCTGCTCAAGGACTTGGCACGAGTTAAACCTAAGGCAGCTAACAAAGGGGGTGGGCACTGCAGGGGAGGAGACCCACGGATGGAGCCTTGACGGAGGTCTTGCATCCCGCAGGCCTCCCAGAAGGACTAAGGAGAGAGTACGGTACCAAAATAGCAACCGGAAAAAAAAAATCCGCAGGCCTCCCAGAAGGACTAAGGAGAGAGTATGGTACCAAAATAGCAACCGGAAAAAAAAAAATAATAAATCAGCCAAGTTTGCTGTCAGAACAAACAGCTCTGGAGCCGCTGCAGACCAAACCAGACCCCTGCTGCTTCCCCGGGGCTAACCCTCAGCACAGCCCCTCGACGCAGCTGCTGTACCTACATCAGCGAACCAGAAGTAAAGAAACAAGTCAACGCTCTTGGCCACTGAGCCAACGCAAACGAGAAACTTCACCCAGCTGGTTTGTTACCTCTTCCACACAACCAATTAACAAGATACAAACCAGACAGATTAGATGGGTTTTTTTGAGAGCTGTTTTCCCCAGCAAAAGCTAACTTCTTACCACGAGAAAGGATTATTTCGTACTCACAATTGTTTTCATCGTTCTTCGGTAATACTTCATAGGTGGTGTTTCTGACTTCAGGTTTCTTTACCTTTCTTGCTGAGTCTTCTGCATTTTTCAACATATCCGTACTGGCCGCTGAGTCACTCTCTTCATTTTCATCCTCACCAGTATTTTGTTTTCGTTCTTTCCTAATGATTTGGAGTTTAAGAAAAGAAAAAATAGACATCTGCAAAAGTTGTCCTTTAACAAGACATGAATTTATGTAAATTCAAAGTCTTCTCATCTCGGCAAAAGCCGATAGCACGGTGCAGCCGTACTCATACAGACCCCCTGTGGGCCACTACGTCGGCAAAGCCCTTTGCTTGTCCTCATGGCTACCTAAACAAGCAGAACAAAACCAAACGGGTATAATGAAGAAAGGGCAAAGGGTATCCTTCCAAAGCCGCGACCGGTGTTTGCCTGGAACAGTGTTCATGCACGCATCTACAATCTTTTATACTCCTCTAGCATAGTATTCTTAAAAAGCAAAATCTCAGTAAATACTTTAAAGAACATTGCAATGAAACAGAACCTCCAGAGAAATTACCTTCTCCTCTCCTCGAGAAACTCCTCAACGTATTCCTTCCACTTTTTGGAAAACCCGTATGTAAATCTTTTGATGAAACGGTAGGGAAATCCTGTTTGAAACACAAGTCGCATTAACAACAGCTGAGATACACTTTGAATCAGAAAGGGCAGAAATAATACCTGTACAGTCATAGTTTTGTAAGTACCTCAAAGCTCGCTGCATCTCTCAACACCAGAGGGAGACAGGTTTCCCCAGTTTAAGAGACCAGCGCACTTCATAGAAAAGTCAATGAAGGGGTCATTAACTACAGACATCAGCATCTGGAGACAGCATTCTAGTTCCCTGGGAAGCAGGAGCATGAGCTTTCCCCGTTCACCTGGCTGGACTGGCACGTGGCTTCTCTGCTGAGTGCCAGAGGTCCCTCAGAAAGCCCGGAGTTTTGGGGCTCTGGTTAGGCCTAAGCTATGTGGGACTTACCATATCAAGGAAACTCCACGTGGAAGAAAAGTTTGGTTTGCCTTGATACAGAAGCTGGTCAGTCAAAAGCACACAGACTGTTCATGAGGCTTAGCCAAAGACCAACTGCATCAGGGAGCAGGCGCACTCAAAGTATCTAGCAGCAACATTATAAGCCTGGGAGGTTCTTCAGGTAGTGCAGATACAACAGAATGACTCTATTGTTTTGTCTCTGAAACTGGAAAACAACCCTAAAACCAGATATTGATGCAAAGGTATAATGTAATCCTTTGTTGCAACAGAGAAGGAAAAAAGCAGCACTTGAGCTCCAGGCTTCGAGCAAAACGGGACATGTAACACTTAGCACGTAGCCTTCTCACTGACGGGATATAACCCGTGCGGTGCCAGAGCACAACGTCGAGCCACTGCTTGCCTGCCTAAAACACCAGCAGCGTTCAGCCTCCAACTCCGAGACGGCTGGTCATGGACTACTACAAGAAGGGTCTGCAACATGTGGGTAGAAAGCTTAAGCAGTCACGTATTTATCTGAAATTCTGGGAAGCTGCATCTTCACTGGAAAGCATTCAACAGGCACAGGAGTCAAAAAGGGAAAAAAAAAAATAAATATGAAATTGCATCCACAATCTGTTAATCCTGGGAGCTGAAGGGCCATTAATGACTGCCCGCACCAGCTGAGCTCCTCCAGGAGGACAGGCAATGAGAAAGGCGCTCTTTCCTTGGTTTATTTAATGTACAAGCACAGCTCCACCTAGCCCCAACCAGCAAAGGATACTCACAGCAGAGGCCAAAGAAGAGTACAGAAGCCAGGCGAGTGTACAGGAATCCCTCCAAGCCATCTCCCGACCTCCAACTGAGAAACCAACACCGATTGCTATGTATTTAAAAACCCTGAAGGAATTTGCCTTCCAGGGAATTGTTCCATCTCCGATGGAACTCAAGTAAACCTTCAGCATCTACAAGATGCTGTGCAAGGATTTCCACAACTGAGATGCACGTAGCATGAAAAACCTCTTATTTCCCATCTACAACTTTTTTTTTTATTTCCTTTATTCTGTTATTGCAAGAGGCTGCACACAACTGATCGTTATTTACCATCTCCATTCCCTTTGTTATTTCATTAACCTCGCCCACAGCTCCTCCCCGTTTCCCATTTAGCAGGCCAAGAAGTCATAGCTTAGTTTGTCCTTCGCCCTGCAAAAGCCTTTTCATAACTTTAAACACATTTTTCTTCTCCATGCATTTCCTACTTCTGCATTCTTTGTGAGAGCAGGTTGTTGGGGTTCCTGCAGGGAGGGGGCAGGAGGAACGCGGGGTTGTTCTCAGTCTCCAAGATGTCCGTGTATCATACGGGTTTTACAGCTGATAGCAGTCTTTTGGTTCCACTCAACGTTCGAGTTGTTCAACTGCTAGTGAGCATTAAGCTGGCTTCTGAACAGAACCACCTAGCAAAACCCCCAGACCTTGTTCCTCAGTTCTTACTGTGAGCTGAGTCTCTTACATCATCACGTGCTGCCATGCGGGGGCTGAACAAGATCATCTTTAACGGTCCCTCCCAAAACAAACTATGAAACCATCCGTGACAGACGTAACAACATGCTTTCCCCTACCAGCACATGCATCACTTTACATTTAGCAGGACTGAATTTCATCATTTTAATGCCCATTCCAAGCTCTCATGACCTACTTTGTGGCCAGCACTCACCATCCTGCTGCACTTTGGCAACACCAGACTACAGCGGCTGCTTCCCGGCTCATGTTCTTTTCTACAAAGTTTATGAATCTGCTCAACAGCCCACGCCATTATGGGATTATTTTTATTCCCCTCATTTTCTGTTGTTATTTAAACCCACAGAAGCTCCTCCTCCTCCTCACATAACTACTTTGCATCCCTACAAATCTTCCTAAGAGTCTTTCTCAAAGCCCAAAGCCCAGCGGCCCCATCGAAGAAGCCTTACACCATAGTGAGGCATTACTTCATCCATAGCAGCACTGTAGATGCCTTCCCCCATACCTCACTATCTATACATCCACCAATCCCACTCATTATTAGTTTCTATTGGCTTACCTCCTACAAATGCCAAATTCCACATTCCTTAATTTCAAGGGGCTTGGGAAACGACTGTCTGAGAAAGCTCTGCAGCACCTTTCAGGCCCATAGGTACCGAAGCAGGTTTTTTGCGAGACGTTAGGTGCTAATCGTCTCATCTTTCAGCTCCTTTAAAGTGCTTTAGGAGCAGCATTCCATTCTAGCACATAGGTTCATTCTTTATAAGGACTGGATAAAATATTTCCCGTCCATGGGGAAGGGCTCTAGCCAAAGCACGCTGTTGCATGGGCGCAGGCTGGAACGGAGCGCGTGCCGCAGGGGGCTGTGTGCAACATTCCTGCCGCGGGGCGGTTGGGACCTCAGCCACAGAAAACACCTTTCCAGGAACAGAGCCTCTGCAGTTCAAGAGCCTGCGCTGTCCTTTGCACAGTTTCATCAACAGTGACCACTGGCCAGGTTTGGTGGCACACCTGGAGTCCCAGATTGCTAATTAATAACCACTTTGGATAACGAGGCAGAAGGAGGTAAGTGCCTAGCCAGCGCTCTTACTGCAACACATTTCATTAATCCTTTCAGCGCTTTGGAGAGTCACTCTGAGTGCCTGTACACATCAGCCAAATATTTCCCACGGGCAAGCAGTCCTGTGCTGGCACAGCGTTGCTCACAAACCAACAGTGCCACAGCGACAGCCCCAGCTGCTCCTGGCTGCCAGTACCCCCGGTTTAGGGTTAGGCTTTCGATGTGGCATTTCTTCTCCCCTCTACCTACACTAGCTTGGCTTTAACTTCGCTTTTGATTCAATGATCGATACTGATTCTGTTCAGGGTATTTCCAAGAGATTTTCCACACCAACCCTACGATAGGTTTTTTGTGTGTTGGGGGATGCTGGGAGGCGAAGGGGAAGCTGAGAAGGAGGGATGTTTTGCCATAAGTGCTAAATCAGATGATCTGAAGAATTTTTTCAGCACAGACTGTTAACTCTTAGGCTTAGGAAACCTCTGTGGTGCTTGAGCCACCCTGCTCAGAATTCTCATGCTGTCACTTTTCCTTCTCAGAATATTAAAATAAAATAAAAAAAAGTAAGTATTTAGCAGAGGAACTAATAAAAAAATTCAATTCAGAGAGCAGCCAAGTCAGGTATTTATCAGAATGCACTCCAGTACTGCAAGCAGTAAGAAAAAAATGAAAGCCACAGACACCTCTTTGGATGCCTTGCGCGGGGCCTGAGAGAGCAAAGAGTGCACGTATGCTCCTTTGAAAAGCGCGGGACCACGCGCACGAGGCACGTCTGCATGGAGGCAAGCATTTACTCCATCTATGCCACAGGCGATCCTTACGTTCCTAGAGCTGCCTGTAAGCACTAACATGGCAGCTTGTTTGCTAGTGAACATGACAGCAAATGCGTGTGAAGCAAGAAAAATAGAATGAAGCCTAGCCTAGCTTTAGCTTTGTGTGTAAATTACATCTCCCTTAAAATTCCACATGCTTCAAAACAATCTGAATGAGGAAGTTTTGCTGGATTTGGTACAACACAGCACTTAGACACTAAAGATGGTTCAGTTTACCAAATTATAAGGCACAGACATCATAACTAGTCTGTCTCCAGAAACACCATGTAGTGTTGCAGAACTAGCGGTTACCCAGTGAATAGTAAGTCACAGATAGAATGCCAACACCAGAGTCATTTCAGTAGTGTATAAACAATCCTGTTTGAATGTCTTAGCACTATTTAATTGCCAAAACATTGACCAAAATTACGTAAAGGCAATCTCAGCAAAGAAGTTTCTTTAAAAGAACGCAGCCATTTGCCAACTTCATGACCTGAAAGCCATCTCTGTAACTGCAGCGCCCTGACAACGCCAGCTACAATCGACGTTAGACAGCATTGAGAAATCGGATGCTGGAGTCACTCTCCAGCACGTGCTGAATACCCACCGAGCGCAGTTAGCGGGGTAAGACAACACGTTTGCCTCAGCAGTATGTTCAATCATAAATCTAAAGCCCTTCTCCATTTGTAATGTTACATTAAGAATCATCTTCTTACCTTCTTTTCTCATCGAAGCTGAATCTATATTTCCCTGTAGCAAGTAGATACTGCCAGAGGAGGTTTTAACTTGGTTGTATGCTATGCGTTCCATAACCGCATTACTGTGCCAAGGCAGACCTTTCATATCTCTAAGACAGAAAACATGAAGAACAGAAATAAAACATTGTTTTTACAGAAGAAGGTATTTAAAATTACAGTATTGTTATGCCATATGAGCCTAGCAGTGTCACCTATTTTATGAGCAATATAGACAGATACGACACTGGCAGGTTGAAGCTAGGTTTTCTTTTCTTAGCTTGGAAGAGAAACAGTCCTGGCTTTGTCTGATGCTTGGACAGGAGACGAAATGACCGTGTCAGCTAGCGCGGGCGTTAGTCACAGAGCATGAGCTTGGCATTAGGCTGCTGAAGGAAAACGGACACAGGAGTCCATCCAGCGCATCGCTGCAGTGACACCATTGTGCAAGTTACAAAAGTACCGCTACACAGGTCAAATAAATGTAATAATCCTGGGGAAAATATACATTTCTGACCTTCCTATTTAAAGATGAGAACAGCTGAAGAAGGAGCCCTAATATGTGTGTTGAATTAGCGTTGTTAAGAAGTTAAGGGGCTTCTCCATGAGAAATAAAAAAACAGATCCAAGCATCTACATTTTGGGGGTTTCTTGGGGGGTGATTGTTTTTGTTTTGTTTTGTTTTTTTAATATACTTTTACAGCAGTAACCAACAGATCAACCTACAGAACAATATTAAGGACTGAAACCCAAGAGGACAGCGAAAACATTGAACTGTATAACTTGCCACAAAATATTAATGGCAGTCGATTCAGAGGGCCTATAAAGCAAATGAAATATATCGTGTGTCAGCACCACATATCAGACAGACACCAACACAAATGAAAAGAGAACATGTTGCTCGTAGTGAAGGGTGCAAAGTGAGAGGATCAGTTGTTTTCATACAGCCATGAAACAATTGTCAGTTCCCACTAGGAATCCTACCACGGGACATCCTCCTGACATCTCTCGGTCAGCATACCGAATTACTTCCTTTCACAGTGCTACTGCTGTTGAGCGAGGTTCCGAGTTTTCAGATGAGTAACTATGTGTTAGGTAGTCACTAGCTACAGAAAGAGCAGAATAATCTTCCCTGAGGGTAGATTCTCGCAATGTCTTCAAACAACTTTATTGCAAGCTAAAACTCTCCTTCGTTCTGACACTCGTTTTCTTGATCTCATAGCTGTTTGAATACAATCTGACCAAAAACATAACCAAAAAACCCCTGCCGAGTCAGTTTTTAGGTGGACCAGCTGCTGCCATGGTTCATAGAGGTATAGAGTAACAGTGCCACCACAAGTGATACGGCAGGAACATACGGCTGATGGCAGTCTGCACCATGTTTGACTTCGAGCAGCCACAAGACAGAATTTTTGTGAAAGGAGGTAGAAGCTCCTAAGACCCCTGGTCAGCACCAGTTTGGGGGATCTACTAGACAAACACATTTGTCTTTGTTCCTCTTAACCTCTTTCATGGACTCAGGGCAGGGCTTTGATAAAATTATTGAACCAGTAAGTTCCTGTAGGGAGGCTCTCTACCTCTTGCACACATGACGGAATTCACCTCTTCCTTGATGAAGAAGTTTAAACTATAACATTACTTTTTATTTACCAAAGGCTACGAGCAAGTTCCGTGAAGGTGCAGCTCCCATGGCCACCTAAGCCAACCCAACCACGGTTCCTTCCGCCCCGCCATACTGCAGCCCCCGCCGTGCAGTCCCTCATCCCCCCGTGCACCAGCTCTGCCCTTCTGCAGGCTCTGAAGCAAATGGGCTCAGCATGCTTAGCCAGAAGAGAGGTAACTGCGTTTAAAAAAAAAAACAATAAAAGAACGGGAAGAGTTGTAAGCAGCATCACGAGGGTTAGGAGGCAAGCAAAGGGCCGTGTTCCCTCTGGCTGGGGAGGAAAGCAGCCGAAGCGTGTGGAACTGCTTCCAACAGTTACCAAGGTATTCCAAGAACACAAGTCTCAAAGCCACGGCTGTTCAGCCAGGTGAAGATGGTATAGCCTTTCCAGCCCAGGTGCTGAAAGCCTGCCAACATGTTTTACATTGCGTTTAAATCAGAAAACTTTTTCTTACTTCCGTTTTCCTTCAACATATATCGCAGTGTTACCGTCCATCACTTTAATTCTCCAATTCGTTAGGCAGACGTGTTTCTGTTACCAAAAAAAAGTAGTCATTGTTAAATGAGACTAAGCTATGCAACATCGCCAAGGCATTAGCAAAATAGAAATTAACTCCTGCGTAACTTGAGAAGATATTTAGGTACCACCCTCCAGAGCAGAAAAAACTCAAAACAAGTTATACACATAAATATTGATGCATAATCAAGCTGGAGTCTAATGCGCAAGTGAAGACAGGGATTTAAATTATAGAAATTTTCGAGTAATTTAGTGTTGACTTTCAGAAGACAAAGTCATTGGCCAAGACCACTAACAAATCCAAAAAGCTACTCAAAATAAATACTAACACTATGCCATACCTCTTACACTTTGTCATCTGTCCTCTGTTACTGTTCAGAAAAAAAAAGTTATCCATGAAATAATACAGTTGTATTTATTGGCTACGTTACTGCCAAAATTCAGACAGTATCAAACCGGCTGTATCTGATATTGCAGACTACTGACACCCACACAGCTGCAGTACCTTCACTTTGCATTAAATAGCCAGCAAGCCAGTTGCACTTGAGTTGCTGTTTGGAAAACTGCGTGTGAAACACACTGCTAACATACTGCTTTGTTTTAAAAAAAGCCGATTGGAAAATGTTTAACATCTGAACCCATCACTATTTCTCCTCACAACTGCAGTTAATAAACCCCAGATCTTTTCCTTAACGATGTTTGCCTTTTGACCATCAGCCTTGACTTCACTGAAGATCTTACCAACGATTTAACCCTGACTGAGGAAAAAGACCCAACATGTCTGGCCAGCACCTACTTGATGAACAGATCTGCAGCGCCCGACAACATCATCTCTTTCAGCACCTTCTACTCAGCTACAAATCTTTAATATTAATGGATATCTGTTCCTTAACTAAACCAAAGCTCATCATGAAGGTAACTTTTTTTTGTTTTAAGACAGGAAAACATATCAAACACTCTTGACACCAGTAAGGGAGAACGACACAACTAACTTGCTTAACTTGAAGAGGACTGTGACCCCGCAGGTTTCTCCAGGGAGCAAAGGGAACTCAGCCCTTGGGAAGGTTTGCTTCCACCAGCTTCCTGGGCTCATCGCTGGGGAATGCGGTACGCTTCACAATACACCGCTTTCCTTGAGATTTATTCAGAAAGTTGTAAACACTGCCAAGCACGTATGGAACTGAAAATAAGATCTGCGGACGAGTCTCCTAGGAAGAGACCCTTGTCCCACTTAATTCAACAGAAGTTTGGGTATTCTGTAGGAAAGCCAAGACTTTTACCTCACTATCAGCTATACAGATTTCAGTTAACTTTAGAGCCATCCCCAACCTACAGATAGGAAAGATCTCTCCTCCTCGGCTTTGTGTAGACAGCCAAGAGCTGGACTGGCCAGTGATGCGTTTCACGTCCATCGTACCATCACATGGCAATTAATGTATTAGAGAGATGACGTAGGAGGCTCCTTCAGGTAGAGAACTCTTTCAGCCCATACTGTGGCTTGTGAATACTAAACCAACAAGCCTTCTTTTGCACAAAAAAAAGATACCCTGAACACCATCATCTTGGAGTACGGGAAAACAGAAAGCCTTTTGGTAGGAAAGCATTTACCAGTACATAGAATCATAGAATGTTTAGGGTTGGAAGGGACCACTAGTGGTCATCTAGTCCAACCCCCCTGCAGTGAGCAGGGACACTGCTAACTAGATCAGATTGCTCAGAGCCCCATCCAACCTGGCCTTGAATGTTCCCAGGGATGGGGCCTCCACTACCTCTCTGGGCAACCTGTTCCAGTGTTTTACCACCCTCATTGTAAAAAATTTCTTCCTTACCTCTAGCCTGAACCTACCCTGTTCTAGTTTAAAACCATTTCCCCTTGTCCTAACACAGCTGGCCCTATGAAAAAGACGTTCCCCATCTTTCCCATAGGCCCCCTTTAGGTACTGGTACAGTCTAATGAAATAAAAGTTTCTTCTCTTCTGACTGCTCATGACTTTTGGAGAGAAAAAAAACAGATAAATAGCAACTATGAACTACAAGCAGCCCACAGGAATATACCAGTTGCCCTGAAGTATTAAGTTTTCTCACCTCTTTGTCTGTGTTGCCAGCAACTTGATCCATATGAGGTTTATCCAAAGGGACATTAGAGCCTTCTTTCAGCTTTTGCTTCCTTGGAATGTGGACTTTGGGAGAAGAGAGCATTATGCTACAGATGCACTGTGAGGGCTTTTGAGGATTAGTGTCCAGTATCTTTTCTACTCCATGAGCAGCTTGCTTATTACTTGGCTGCAACTCTCTTCTGTCTTGGTGCAGTTCAGTACATTTTGCTTTTCCATTTCCCCACCTTTCTTCTAACTGATCCCCATTTCCAAAAGGGGTGGATTGTAAATTCACAGAACTAATCATTGTATTTTGAGACATTTCATCATCAGCATCCATGGATTCCATAAGAAAATTATCCTGATCATCCTTATCAGCGGCCACATACTCTGTAGGACCATTCCTGAGCTGCTCAGCAAAAGCAGGTTTGACTACTGGCTTTTCTGTATGTGTGGAAGGAGGAACGTTTTGTTTGACTGGGTTTGAAGGTGTTGGATCTGCCCATTAAAAAAAAAAAGAGAAAAGGAATAACAAAGAAATCAGTGAAATCTGAGAACTAATACAAGTATTTTCATAAAGTTTGCTCCATTTTTACTAAGAGGAGGTTGTACTGATTAGCATTACCACAATTGTGAAAGCACTGCCTATTTCGATTGTTAACGTCGACAGCAAGCCGGTCTTTGAATTTGTTTGGACTAGCTTTTCCTCACCACCAGATCAATACTCCTGCTGTTAAAGACTGACAGATACCCCACTTTCCCCCAAACCCAACACCTCAAATATTCCCATCTTTCTAGATTTCAAGGTGTGGACTTCTAGCCATGCCGCTGCTCTGCCGAGAGCTACAGGCACCGGGATTTGAGTTTTCAGACAAATTAAGTTTCGTTTTGAAGTTGAACACTGCTAAGACTTTGGCATGCATAATTTTCTTCATCTGCATTTTCAAAACTGAATTACAAGACAGAAGCATATACAGGGTTGCTATCAAGTAACGACATGGAAAAAAAGCAAATACAAGACAACTTCTCACAGAACCAAACCTTTTCACTTTATGTATGAAAAACTGGGTAAAAAAAAAAGAGCCATCAAATAAGAGGTTTAGAATTTTTCCACCAAGTTTCACATCCGAATGGCAAGGTTATCCCTAGTCTCTAAGGAACTGTTAACCACATCAGGAGCCTGAAGGTAGATGCCTTTCGTTGTCAGGGGAGATAGTGCGCTCAAACGGACTAACAATGTCAAGCTTCAAGGTCACAGCCCTAAACCATAGTTAAACCAAGTCTAATGCCATCTCCAGGTTTGAAAAGGCAGATTTGCAGGTTTATTCCTCCATTTTCCACTGCGCACAGACTACAAAGAAAGAGGAATGATACTCTGCCCAAGCACGCGAGAGATTATAAGCAAGAACAGAAACCCTAAAGTCAAGGAGGCTTTTGAAGTGTTTTTAAGAGAAATAACAAGTACCTTTTTGCTGCTGCTGCTGCTGCTGCAATTTCCGCTTTACACGCAAGAAGAACTTCTGAGGGGATTCCAATACAAGAGGGTCTAAGGCTAGTGCTTTTGTGGTTCGGTTCTCAGGAATCCGAGTGCAAAATAATTCTGGAAAATAATAATACAAAAAAAAAAATGTTTGAATTTGGGAAAGAAAAACATTTTCATGTGGGGGGGCAGGGGAAGCAAGGTACGTACTTTGTAAGATACTAAACTGCCCTATGCAACAATATGTTTTCTTTTCATTCCCAAGATGGATGGGCAATACGACCTTTCCCTTTTCATCAGGAGCTTAGCTGTTTTGTTGCCCCAGCTGCATGTGAGAAACACCCTCAGGTGTGTGTCTGTCTGCATGTCTGGGCGTCACCCAGCCCACAGGAATCAACAGGATTTTGGAGGTGCCTACAAATGGGGAGTGTCTCACAGTATTAAGGTCTAACAAGCAGCATCTATGCTAACCCCTTTTGGTATTCGATCAAAAGTCATTATCAATTTGTGAATCATAGAATCACTTTGGTTGGAAAAGACCTTTGAGATCATCGAGCCCAACCTTTAACCTACCCCTGCCATCCCACCACTAAACCCTGGCCCTAAGCACCTCATCTCTCCTTCTTTTAAATCCCTCCAGGGATGGGGACTCGACCACCTCCCTGGGCAGCCCATTCCAGAGCCTGACAGCCCTTTCAGGGAAGAAGTTTTTCCTAATGTCCAGCCTAAACCTGCCCTGGCGCAGCTTCAAACCATTCCCCCTCGTCCCATTGCCCGTTCCCAGGGAGCAGAGGCCGACCCCCCCTCCCTACAGCCTCCTCTCAGGCAGTTGTAATTCCTAGGGATGGTGACTCCACCACTTCTTTTCTCCAGGCTAAACAATCCCAGTTCCCTCAGCCGCTCCTTGTAAGACTTGTGCTCCAGAACCCTCACCAGCTTTGTTGTTCTCCTCTGGACATGTTCCAGCAACGCAACATCTGTCTTGTAGTGAGGGGCCCAAAACTGAACACAGGATTCGAGGTGTGGCCTCCCCAGCACCGAGTACAGGGGCACGGTCCCTGCCCTGCTCCTGCTGGCCACACTATTCCTGATACAGGTCAGGATGCCATTGAATGTGATGATGCAAGGGCAAAAATATACCTTCTGGAAATCCATTGTTAAAAAGGGAAACAAAAAACAACATTAGGAGCTTTCACTTTTTATAAAAATCACAGAATAGTTTGGGTTGGAAGGCACCTTTAGAGATCCAGTCTAAACCTGCCCTGCTTCAGTTTAAAGCCATCCCCCCTTGTCCTCTCACAGCTGGCCCTACTAAAAAGCTTGTCCCCCCCTTTCCTCTGGGCCCCCTTGAAGCCCTGACCGGCCGCACTCAGCTCTGCCCGCAGCCTTCTCTTCTCCAGGCTGAACACCCTCAACTCTCCCAGCCTGGCCTCAGAGCAGAGGGGCTCCAGCCCTCGGAGCACTTCTGTGGCCTCCCCTGTCCCCGCTCCAACAGCTCCATCGATAAAGATATTAAGTAGCGCCAGTCCCAATCCCGATCTCTGAGGATCACCACTCATCACTGGTCTCCACTTGGACATCAAGCTGTGGCTGTCCCTGAGGGACACCACTTGCCACCGATCTCCATCCGGACATTGACCACTATCCCCGGATGCAACCATCCAACCAATTCCTCATCCGCTGAACAGTCCAGCCATCAAATCCATATTTCTCCAATTTAAAGAATAGGATGTTGTGGGGGACCATGTCAAAGGCCTTACAGAAGTCCAGATAGATGACATGCGTCGCTTTTCCTTTGTCCCCTGGGAACACTTCTTCATAGAAGGCGACTAGATTGGTCAGGCCCTTGGTGAGGCCACACTGGCTGTCTCAAATCACCTCCCTGGCCTCCCACGTGCTTTAGCATAGCTCCTAGGAGGATCTGTTCCATGATCTTCCCAGGCACAGAGGTGAGGCTGACAGGTTGGCAGTTCCCAGGGTCCTCCCTTCTACCTTTTTTAAAAATGGGTGCAATGTCTCCCTTTTTCCCGTCACCACAATAATGGTTCAATCTCGTTTTTACTGTATCCAACAGAAACACTAAGAGTAACGAGTGGGTTTGTGTTGCAGCAAAGAGATTTGGGAAAACATTTTTGTATCTAACCATAAAACGAGGACACTGCCATAACTGCAAGTTCTTTTGAGAACAACTCGATAACCCCCCAGCAAAACCAGCATACAGCTGCCCACGCTAGTGGCCAGATAAGACAGGCTGAGCACTTAGCCTAGTTTTCTGCAATGATGTCTTAAAACAAACACAGACAAACCAGGTAGGTCTTAACCCCCACCCAAAACTAGAGAAAAGTTTAGTCCAGGAGACTGGTAAGTACTGTACTTCAAAGAGGAATACATGTAGCAATGAAGCATAACCCTTCTGACGAACCAGCCAGTATTTCAGCGGGTCTCCCACTGCAGGTGATTGTAACAGGAGAATGGGGCACCACCACAGGACACCTTCCTCTTCAAAATACCTCTGTTACCTTTACAGATCCACAGCTCTGCGCCATTCCTACTTGCCTATTGCGGCTGCAGCAACTTTACGGGAGGGAGCACAGTGCTTACAGGTTCACATTTTGCCAACCAGTCAGAAAGAGAAGATGCACTGGAAAAGCCACCAGACCAGGCTGCCCAAGGAGACACCCTGGCATTTCAATCCAAATAATTTTTCCACCAACCTTTCTCCTTTCTGTATTGACTATAGGGAGTAGTTAAAGTAATCGGTTGTTTTGATTTTTTTAATTTACAAAGTGTAATTCTGTTTTTCAAGATGTTGCAGAGGCCCAATCCCATTCACAGACAGAACAGAGGGAGTAGTTAAAGCCATACTGAGCAAGGAAATACCATGGGAGGGATTCCTCTAAGGCAAAGAAAGGGTAAGAGAAATCAACTATGGTACAGACACATTTTAGCATTAAAAAAAACCCCTCCATCCAAGCTTTTTTTTTTTTTTAAAATCCCCAAAGACCTGGGGGAAAACCAGTACTGGTACCAATACTTTTTACACAGAATCCCAGCCTGGCAGGGGCTGGCAGGGCCCTCGGGAGCTCACCCAGTGCCACCCCCCTGCCCAAGCAGGCTCACCCAGAGCAGGGGGCACAGGACAGCGTCCAGGCGGGGGTTGAAGATCTCCAGAGAAGGAGACTCCACAGCCCCCCTGGGCAGCCTGGGCCAGGGCTCCATCACCCTCCAAGTCAAGAAGTCCACCTATGGACACACATTGGCTGCTTTTTCCAGACCCTGGGAGAGTCGCAGGAGGAACACAGAGCAAGTCATACCGAGCTAAACGCTAAACGAGAGACAGCTTTCTCGGAGAAGCAGCGGAACAAACCTCCTTTCGGCTGGACGCAGGCAGCGGGCGCCTTGGCGGGTCCCTGCCGCCCTTCG